GAGCGTGGCTGAAGCGGGCTCCCGGGGCGTCCTTGGGAGAAGACGGCCGGCAAGCGGAGGCGATGTCGGAGACCGCAGCGGGAGGGGACGAGCGCGGTGACGGGTGAGGGGTGGCTGTCAGTGACTGCTGTGCCCGCTGAGGAGGGAAACGCGCTGTGTGCGCGTGAGGACAGAGACGGGCTGCACACGTGCCGCGCCCGCTTGGTCCCTGCAGGGTGATTTCCAGTCTCCCATTCCCCTCCGAGGTGCTGCAGAGAACCCGCCCCTCACGCCGGTGCTCGTGGCTCCTTGCGTGGGCGTCTGGCCCGAGCCTGCCGCCCTCGGCACCCTGCAGGGTGCTGAGTTTATCTGCTGCCCCCTCGGCCTCACGGAACTCACGTCCAGGGCAGAGCCAGCGCACGGGCTGCTTGCCGAGAACGTCCAGCTGGGCGGAGGGGCAGGGGGCCCGGGGCCTCACGCCTGCACCCCACCCCATCACAGGACGGTCCCTGGCCGCCCGCCAGGGCAGGAGTGAGGGCGTTGCCCGCGCGTGGCGCCCACGCACCAGCTCCCTGCCCGGCCAGGCCAGGCGGGCCGGCGGCAGTGAGACGTAGCCCCTGGCTCTGCAGAGCAGGCGCCGCGCTGGCTGCTGGGAACCAGGACCGGGCCCAGGGGCTGAGGGCTGAAGAAGGGGCTGAGGTGGGGAGGGGGAGAGAGGACCACTGGGAGCAGGGGAGCGGGGGGACGAGGACCTCCCTTTCAGCTGGAAGGTTGAGAGCACCTGGGGCTCAGGGACACCTCCCTCAGGAACCTGAGGCTGCGGGGCTGAGAGGAGGAGCAGACAGCGGGGTTGCCAAGCTGGCGGGTGGGGGCGGCCCAGGTTGGGGGGTGGCTTCGGCCGCGACCAGCAGGTGGCAGAGTGCCTGACAAGCTTCATGGCTCCCCAGCCTCGGCCTGGCTCCCCGTAGGCTCAGCAGTGACCCCCCAAAACACAGTCCCCTCTGGGGTCCGATGCAGCCTGAAGCCGACTTGCCCCAGCTGTGACGGGTGTGGGGCGCCTTGACTCTTCAGGTGTTGATCAACAGGTGACTCGGTGCAGGTGCGCTCAGCGGCTCGGCCAGTGGGGGCGGGGGCGGGCTAGATCCCAGGTCACCCGGGTCACTGCCGGGTGACACCACCCACGTGTCCCTGAGGGCTCATGTCGGTGCCGCCTGCACTGCTCTCCCCACACAAGCTGGTGTGTTGGGGTCACACCAAAATCCCCACGCCGAGGGCCAATGCTGGCGTGTCCAGGGCCTCCCAGGGCAGGGCGGGGGCACCGGGAGGAACTGGGGGCTCACGCCAAGGACGATGCCTGGCCCAGCTGGGCAG